GCGAATCGGCCCGCCTGGAGACACCTCGGCAGCTTCGCATGTCGGTCATCCTTAACCCCGCGCTGTACGTCTGCCGATGCAGCCAGGCTACTGCTGGCACGTTCAATCACGCGGTCATCCGCATACTGCCAGCCCCCATCAGAACATCGCCCGAGGGTTGGCGCCCTGCCTAATGGCGGCGCTCGGAATCATGATCCAGCGCGGGAAACAGCGGGAGTTGCAAATATAGGTGCTCCCATCGTCGGGCAAGGCAGCAACGGTCAGCTTCAGCCCCGCCAAGGCCGGCGCCGGTGACATAGTCGCCTCTCTGGCCATGGGTGTCCAAGTGCGTTGCCCCTGCCCCGCCAGTCCTTTTCGAAAGGGCAGGCATGTCCGGCCAGGTGCTCCCAGCATTGTCGCTTCCCCTTGCTCTTGCCGTTCCCCTTCGCCTCGCCCTCGTCGCTGCCCTGTGCGGGCGCGACGCTCTTCTCAGCATTTTGTGCCGCGGCAGACATTTGATCCTCGCTGCGCTTGTGGGTTTTTCCATTTGCCTATCTTGTCCATCCGCGCCTCGCACTTGTCCCGAGAGAGCTTCTCCCCCCGCGCGGCGCCTGCGCTCGCGGGGGGTGTTTCTCGGGGGGGCCGGGGGAAACTCCGCGGCTAAATGCGTGGCGCGTGCCATTCTTCTTGGAGCTAACACTGGAGGCGCGGCTCCGGGAACGATCGCGGCCCCTGCCGCCGCCTGTGGGCGATCGGAGGGGCGCCCTTGGCTCCTGCCGCGACCGCCGCCCTCGCCCTTTTCCACTGCCTCTCTCTCTCTCTCTCTCTCTCTCTCTCTCCCTCTCTCTCTCTCTCTCTCTCTCTCTTTTTTCCCCACTCTCTCTCTCTCTCTCTCTCTCTCTCTCTCTCTCTCTCTCTCTCCCTCTCTCTCTGCCATCTGCTTTCCGCCGCCCTTGCCGCCGCCCTTGCCCGACTGAGCTAGCGCGGCCTGCGCTGGAGCGGCGGCGCCTCCAATTCCCTTCGGGTGCCAGCGCTGACGCTGCGCCCGAGCGCGCGGGCACTTGCCCTGAAGGAATTTATTGCGTGGTGCTGACTTCTTGAGGCGACCATCTTTCATGCGTGGACTACGTCCGCCCTTGCCGACGCGCCCCCCCCCCCCCCCTCCTTCGCACTTCTCGCCCCCCGCAAAAAGACCGCGAGAATTCAACATCCCCCGCCGCTTTCCACGATTGATCCCCCCTCTCTCTGCGCGCATGAAGTCACTGGCCCTCGATGCCCCTGCATCGCAGGGCGGCAAAAAGACGTCAAATTCCTTCGTCTCGTTTCCTGACCCATTCATCGCAAAGCTGGAACCGGTCGGCGTCCGCCTCCTTGCCCGCGCCGCGTATCTGCATCTCCGTGAAATCTGCGCACGTATACACCTGGCCATGATCCTGGCGGGCGGTCACGCGCGCGGCAATGATGCGCAAACTTTCACGACCTTTCATCTTGCTTCTGGCGGTCTGCGAAAAGATGTCCAATCTTTCGATATCACTCGCAAAATGACGCAACTGCAATGGTGACCGCCGGTCTTCAACGGTCTTGTTGACCGTTGACATGAAGTCAGCTGAGATCATCAGGTCGAGCCGGGCGAATCGCCCTCGCCATCGCCGTCGTCTCCGCCATCATCACCGGGAAAGCCTGGGCCTGGATGTCTCGGCGCTGGTGCCTTCCTTGGCGGGGTCGCGTCAGCCCCCCTACCTCTCCGCTCGAGGATGCTCGGCGAAACCCCTGGCGCTGGAGGCGCGCGCCCTGGGCACTGGGTCGCAATGCTGGCGCGAGCTGTCCCCGAGTCGGCATTCGAACCTTTCAGTGCTCGGACCTCGCGGTCAACTCCTTGCCCCCTGCGTTGGGCCTGCTGCGCCGGGGCGGCAGCCGCCTCGGCCCTTTTCTCGCGCATCTCTACGGTCTTCCCCCTGCGCTCAGCGCACATCCTGGCGTTTTCCCCTTCGCGCTGCATTGCCTGTCCCAGCTTTTCCTCGAGCCTCTCATTGGCGGCCCTGGCCGCAGCTGCAGGCTCAAACGACACCTTCGATCCAACGCTCTCGGCCCAACGATTATCGCCATCCGACGCACAGCCCCGGGCGCGCGCAGGCCGAAGCAATCGATCGCGAGAGGCCGCCCTCGGCGTAGACGCAGCGGCGCTCCGCTCCTGAAGTTTATGTCCCGCCTGGCGTTCCTCACTTTCTATCTCGCGAAGTCTTTCCTCAGCTTCATTCCTTTCCGCTGCTGAGTTCTTTCCGCAGAGGCGCGCGCGAGTCTCGCCATCCAACGCGACGCGGCCGTCGCATGCAACTTTGCTGCGCGAAAGGCAGTCGCGAGCGGCTGCTTTGGAGCGCGCATCACACCGCGGAACTCCCGCGCGGGGGTTCCGACCCGAGTTTCCGCGCGAGGCAGGTCGCCCAGCCGCCGTCGGCGCCGACGACGGCGCAATGGGCACTGTCGCCGCGCCCGCTTGAGCAGCCGACCCGGTGCCTGAGGGCGTTGCTGAAGATGCCCTGGCTGGGTTCCACTGCGCCTGGCGCTGGCCGAGCTTGCGATGCAAACTGCCCCGCTCAGCTTTCCGACTCCTCGCCGGCCGGGCGGCCCCCAGTTCTGCTGCCCGAATGCTCGCTGCAACTTCCTCCTCGGCGGTCGTCTCGACTCGTCGCATCTCCTCGCGGGCGGGCCGCGGAACGAGCCTAGCTCTCGTGCGCGACGAAATCGGCTCGCCTCGGCCTGCTCAATGGCAGCGGCAGCCTCCGCGGCTAGCCGCGCGCTCCGATTCTCTCTTGCTTGCAACTCCTTGGCAGCCTGCGACATAATCGTTCGCTGGGCTTCGCCAGCCCCCCGGACTGCGCGCCCCGCCTCCTGTGCGAAGCGCTTCTCCAGGAGATGCGCTCGGCACTCGGGGGGGGGGGGATAATCTCCAGCCTTTTGGCGAGCTCTCTCATTTCCTCTGTCGCGGCAGAAGCCGGTCGAGCTGCCGCCGCTTGTTGGCGCTCTTCCAGGCGACGCGCGGCGTTCGCCATGGCCCCCCGGTCTCGCTCCAAGTCAAGGGCGGCAGCCGCTTGTTGTTGCGTTTCCGAATGCCTTAGTTGCTCGCGCATTACAACAAGATCCCCCCCCCCCCTGATCTCCATGATGTCGAACCTCTTCATTCCCTCAGTTTCGCGCCACTCGCTTAAGCGTACCCTTGCGCAGTTATGCGAGCTAGGAGCGGCGCGCGTCGGGAATGTGAAGTTTAGGTTACAGAGGCAGCCGATGTCAGGGCACCCGAAACAGACGAGGTTCTTGCACTGGCCCGATAAGCCGGGGCACCGTGACTCTTGCACAACAGCGCACTTCGGTCCATAATTTGCGCGCTTGGCGTTGATGCGCACGCTGCAGGCGCTGGACCTGCCTGCCAAATTGGACAAGTCAGATACCTCAGATCGTGGTCTTGGGGCCCTTGTCAGTCTCTCTCTCTCTCTCTCTCTCTCTCTCTCTCTCTCTCTCTCTCTCTCGGAATTCCCCATGCGGGGGGGGGGGGGCGGGCGCGTGAGTCAGGCGTCCCAGACATTGAGGCCGGTGCACTCTGACTCGTCTGAAGAACGAACGGCGGGGGCCCGGGGACATAGCTCCCGGGCACTCCCCCCGGGGCGAACTCAGGGCCGTACTCCGGAATGCCGCAATATCTACTTCGCGTCCCGACTGGCGAAGTCACTGAAAGACTAACAGGCTCACGTCTTTGCTTGCTCGTTTTCCAAATGGGACTGCCCGCGAACTCCTCATCTACGATCTCCTCCAAATCCCGTTCCAAAGACTCATCATATGGAATCGCGGCACCCTTGCCGTGCGCGAGCGGCACCTGCGCAGGGGGGGGATCTCCCAATGTAGCAGCAGACGCACAATCATAGACCTCATATCCTCCATCATGTGGCCAAAGATCACCAGGAACGCCTTTTGGGCCTGGGCTCTGACCTGAGAGAGAAACTTTCCTCCGACGATATCGACTTCACGTCGTGGTCGTCGTCCGAAAGGCGAATGGGGACATCAAGTTACTCACCAAATGGTACGACGTCCTGTTCATCTTTTTCCGTTTCGGTCGGGTTCCGCGGTGCCCTTGACATGCGGAGTGCTAGGACCAGGACGAGGCTCGTCGTCGAAAGGGCCCCAGCAAATCTTGGAAGGGAGACGTCGGCTCGATTCCCAGACAATTTCGGCTGAACCTTGATCAAGAAGATCCACACTCATACCATGGCGCGATTCTTCTGTAGAGCGTGCATCATATTTGGGTGGTTGGAACATATCCCCCTCGTCTGACATAACCACTTTCGTCGAAGATAGAACTTTCGGCCCGTAACCGATATTTTGCCGACTCATTGATGATATGGGCTCTTTCTTGGCCATTTCGATAGGGAGCATATGATCATGATCGTCTGGTACTTATCCTCCTTCATATTTTCCCTGTAGTAGTCTCTTGCTCCAAATTAATCTTCAATGTCGGTGATGTATTCCTAGATGCCATGGCTAAATGGCTATGAGCGTTTCCGTTAAGCTTAGGCTAGCAACGATGTATGAGAGGGCCAGCCGGCCGGGGGACGGCGCCCAGGAAAGCGGGCGCGCCGGGCGGGCGGGCCACAATTTTTTCTTGAGCCAACCCACGACGACTGCGACGAAGCTGTGGGTCAGAAGTGGACCCGGGGAGTGACCAAATCAACTGGGCGCCCAACATCCTCGGGGCCGGCGCCGCCGACGACGACTACGACGAACCTGGCACCGACGTCGACGACGAGGACGCCGACGGTCAACGACGGCGACCCAATCAAGAAGGTGGCGGCAGCGACGGCGGCGATGGATACGACGACGGCAACGACGGCGAGGGCGGCGATGGCGGCGGCGGAGACAGCGGCGACCAAGAACGGCGACCTCTGGCAGGCGACCACGACGACGACGACGACGATGACGACGACGACGACGACGACGGCGACGACGACGGCGGAGCGAATCGGAGCGGCCACCTCGCCCAGCGCCGCGCCCTCGCCGGTGCCCCGGCCCGCCTCTCTTCGCGGGGCGCCTCGGGCGGCGGGGCGCCCACCGCCCCTAGCACGCTCCGCGCCTGGGGACGACATCCGTGGACAAATTTCGGCGACGTTTGTTGGAACTCTTCGGGGAGGGGTGAAAGCAGGCGTCCATGGACCAATGTGCCCCCCAGCTTTTCGGTCCACTTTGGAAGCCCTGGGCCCTCTGGGCCTCGTGAAGGCTGCCCTGGGGCCGTGGGGGCCGCAGGGGCCGCCGCCTCCTCCTCCTCCTCGTGCTCCTCCCTGCTCCGTCCGCCTGGGGGGAGGTCATGCTCCCTCTCCTCCTCCTGCTCCAGGCTTCTCCTGGAGGTAGAGGCGGAGCAAGAGAAGTAATGAAGAAGGAGAGCTTCCTCCTTTTCTCATCCCTCCTTCCCTTGCTCCCTCATTCCTCCCTGTCTCCCTCCTCCTCCCTCCCTTCTTATCCCTACCTCCCTCCCGTTCCTCCGCCTCCTCCTCCTCCTCCTCCTCCTCCTTCGTTCAACCCTTTCTCCTCACTTCTAATCCCTGCTCCCGCCGAGACGAGTGAGGAAGGAAAAGGTGATGACGACGACACAGCCACAAAATCGAATCGATCTCACCGGGGCGCCTCGCACCACCAAGATCAACATCTCCCGCCAGGGCGGGGCGGTGCCTTGGACTACATGGCCCGTACGGTCTGGTGATGAATAAATGCAGGCATCAAATCCGTTATGCTGAAACTGTCCTGAAATCAGGTGGAAACAAGGCTCAGACAATGCAGTGATGGCGTTGCGAATACAGTTGCCAAACTGCCATGAAGCATGGCCGCGCATATGTCACGAAACTTTCCAAACGAAGACATGGAAGAAAACGAGATTGGTACACGTTGCGGTAGAAGTGCTTGGCGCAGTAAGAAGTTGAGCCAGAGTCCAAGACCACGTCGTCGAGCATCGCGACACCTGCCTTTCGTGCGCCACCGTGCACCACACGTTGCCGTGAGCATTAACTGACGTGGCAGCATTGACGCGAAACATGGTCGCACGCTGGAGACAATAGTACTTCCCCAGTGCGAGTGATACTACGTGGTAGATCGGTGTGGGCTGCCTGATGGCCACAATCGTCAATCCACGCTTGTACCCAATGTTCTCCAAATTGAAGATTCGCCCACTTTGTATGATTATATTATTCCCGGAATCGTATGCGCCCACCGCGGAGACTCAATGCGGGGTATGCGGCAATCGACGTTCATCCTGGCTGTACAACCTCAAACGGTGGAGCATGGCCGCTGCGTGTTGGGGGATCCAAGCATACGAGGGAACCACACACGTCGGAGGCTGTAGATAGAGAGTCGAGTCTACGGTGGTAGACTGTTCGCACGGCGCGACGCGCAGGGAACGCACAAGAAACGAACGCACAACGATCTATCACATCTGGAGCGCTGATAAGTGTCGTGAGACTGACAAACAATACCTGTATAACATAATGAAGAAACGCATGTTACAAAAAAGTTGCGCCACTGCTCGCAAGGACGGCGTTGCAATACGTGCAGCATGCCTTCCGTAAGGCATACCGTGCCCGATGACTGTGGAGAGTAAGCTGCAACGCACGCGTTCGATCATCAACTGGACTCGGTCTGTGAAGGCGAAACACAGAACCAACCGCACATTAACCTGAGTCCCCCACATGCGAGATTACCCTACCTTTGAATATGGCCACGGGCAGAAGAGGTAAACCAAGGGCATGCATGCACAGTCGCCAACACAACGCAAAGTATGCATCTCTGGAAGCAGTCGTGGCCGTGGAACTGTCAGGGCACAGGAAATCCGCACGACGGCAGGTGATAAAAGTAACGATGAGTACTTCGAGTACGATGTAAAACATGCCGATGACAATGATAATGGCGAACACGACGACGAAACATGAACTCGACATCCAGGATGCAGGTCAGAATGACGAACTACTGTTGTTTCGATGAGTGGGGCGAGGAGGTTGACTACGACGAAGGGGGAGGAACTGGGAGCGGTGGGCCAGGCAGGTTTGCGAGTGGAGAGTGCAGGATGAAGCAGTGACAGTGGAAGACGAGTGACGAGGGAGACGATATTAGCGAGGAACAAAAACAACCAAAGGCTGGTAAAACGGCGATTGAGATGATAGGGATGACCATATCCACCACCGTGCCTGCACGGAAAGGCCCCTCGGGGTCTTCCCAGCGCCCGGTTCGGCCTACAAGCGGCCGAGATGGCCTCGAAGACGGCCTCCAAGGCAATCAAGATGGCACCAAGACGGCCCGAGATGGCCCAAGACGGCTCAAGAGGCTCCGAAGACTGCCCCAAGACAGCTCAAGATGTTCCCAAGACGGCCGAAGAGGGCTCCAAGAGGCCGTCCAAGATAGCCCTTGGATGCCCAAACCATTCATGCTCCTAAGGTGTTGGAAAAATTGTGAGGTTCCCGCCGTTTCAAGTTTCCGACTGCCCAAATCGGCCCGAGGGGCTTCCAATACAACTCAAAAGCAGCACATGATGCTCCCGAGAGGGCACCGAGTCGGCCCAAGAGGACCCCCGGATCGCCCAAGCAACTCCCAACAAGGTTCCAAGACGTCCCTGAGGCGCTCCAAGAGGGCTCCAAGAGGCCCTCCAAGATAGCCCAAGAAGGCCCAAATCATTGATTGTTCGAAGGCGTGTGAGATATGTTGAGGTTCACGCCTATCTAGGCTTCCGACCGCAGAAGGCGGCCCAAGGGGCTTCCAAGGTAGCTCCAAAGCAAATCATGAGGCCCCCCAGAAGGCCCCGAGATTGCGCGAGAGGCTCCCAAGAGGGTTCCAAGACGGCCCTAAAGCGCTCCAAGAAGCGTCCAAGAGGCCAGGGCCTCCAGGAGAGCCCGAGGAGCCCGAGGAGAGCCCGAGGAGGTGTCTCAAGGGCTTGGAAGTTATCGCCGTGTTAGCTCTCCGACCGCCCAAGACGGCCCAAGCAAGGGACCTCCAAGATAGCTCCAAAGCAGCCATGCGGCCCCCAGAAGGCCCCGCGTCGGCCCACGAGGACCCCAAGGTCGCCCAAGAGACTCCCAGGAGGGCCCCAAGACGGCCCAGAGAGGCCCCCAAGACTGCCTCCGAAGGCGTCAAACCGGCCAGTGGCCTCCCTAAGACGGCCGAAGAGGCCCAAGGAGGCCCCCAAGACGCGTGCAAGAGGCCCCCCAGGAGGCTCCAAGGAAGCCGCCAGGAGGCTCCAAGAGGGCCCCAAGACGCTGTCTCCTCCTGGTCCTCATTTTCTCCCTCCTCCTCCTCCTTCTCCTCCTTCCGACCGCGCGGACGAAGACGATGTTGGGACCATGACCCTCCCCAATTCACACCACTCGCTGAACTGCCGCGGGGTGTGAACTCGACCTCCTTCCTACCGTGCGGACGAAGACGAGCTCGAATCCATGACCCGTCCTTCTCAGACCACTCGTCGGAATTACGCTGTTCCTGCACTCGGCCTGCTTCCTGCTGCGCTGTTGCACAGGCACGGTGGCGGGGTTTGCCACAGGCAGCTGGATGCCTTGCAAATAATGGTCATGATGATGGGGATGCAAGATGTGGAGGTGGACGAGGTGGTAAATGGCCAGGATTGGCAGCGCGAGAGTGAGAATGTGGTGAGGAGGAGGACGGTTGCCGAGGAGAATCTGTGGGTGGCGAGGGAGGTGAGTAAGGGCAGGAGAAGGGGGTACACGGGGAGGAGGGAGAGGGCGGATGGGATGACGGCAGTGATGGAGGGAGGGAAGGAAAGGCGAACGTGATCACGATGAACTCGACCGCCTTGACGAGCAGAACGAGGAGAAACAAAAGAGGGGCGTCGACACGCCACCTCAGGACGTCTTCCTCTTCTTCCCGGATGCCGCCGACTGCTCGCCATCGGACCGTGGCCTCTTCTGGCCCTCCGCCGCACCCTCCTGGGCACCGCCGCCCTTGCCGGCGTGTGGCTTGCCCACCTTCCGCAGCACGTCCCAACAGAGCTGGTAGACCTGGCCCCGCTTGGCGGGCAGCGAGTCCCGCACCCTCGCCACGACGCTCGCGACGTGCTTGGTGTCTAGGGTAGGGCCTGGGGGGACAGCAAGGCCGAAGCATTGCCACAAGAACGCGGATCGAGAACACGAGCACCTTCGCCGAGGGCCCAAGGAATGCTCAAGCACGAAAACGCACAGGGTTCCCCTCCAGAGCTCGGGTTGTTCTCAGCCCTCGTGCCAATTCCAGATAACAGCAACACACGATGTAAACATAAACGTTCGGAGACCCGCGCGGGTTTCTTAGATCGGGGCCTGTGCACCTTTGGCGGCGCCTCTGGCGTCGACCCTGGCGCGCGTCGCGCGCCATAGAGGGTGGTCCGAGCGCAGATCCAAAGAAATCAACACGGCCGTTCAAAAAGATCATGCTCACGCAATTTCTTCTCGGTACCGATGCCGTGACTCCCCAGACCTCTCCAGGTAGGCTCTCGAGGCGAATCCAGCCGTTTGCAACGACGAGGGATCCCCAGGAGGCCCAATGGGGCGAAACCGAGAGGAGGGCATCGGTGTCAATATGTTTTCTCTCCGAGTGCCACCACTCTGACTGCCGCCGCCCTTCTTCTGCGATGCTTTCAGCGCCACCGCGAGGCCCCGCAGCCCTTCGCGCCGCAGCTTGGCCCGCTGCGAGGCCGACGAATCGCTGGCCTCGTCCTTGCTGTCCTTGCCGGACAACGTGCCTTCGAGGAGCTCCGTGCACAGCGCCGTGAAGCCCTGACCGAGCTCGGTGGCAGCGGCGCCAACGGCCACTTCGGGAGGCAGGTTCCGCAGCAGCCTCTCCGATATGAAGGCTATCTGAGAGCGCTGCGCGAACACCTTCTTGTTCGAGCGCACGTGCTCCAGCCAGGGGAGGCGCAGCAGCACCTCGGGCGCGCGGAACGCGAAGGCTCCGAGGGCTGCCTCGCACCAGCCCTCGCAGTCTTTCTTGGAGCCCCAGTCGCGCAGGACACCCCCCAGCAGCTCCTCTGCCAACGACCAGCCGGCCCCGGCCTCGGCGCCAGCAGCCGCGCCGCCCAGCGCCGCAGCCCTCTGCGAGGCACAGAAGAAGTAGAGGAGCTGCGAGCCAACGGCTTGCGGGCGCAGCCCCGCCGCCGCCGCCTGAGGCCCAGCAGCCAGCTCGAGCAGCTGACGCGCCCGATCGGCCCACTCGTCCGGGGAACACCACTCGGCGACCTCGCGAACCTGGGCGGGCCGGCAGATCTGCTTCAGGGCCCTGGTCAGGAGCTTGGATATCCGCTGCGACAGCTGGTCCTGCAGCTGCCTGAGCGCGGCGTCTGCTCTCCCCTTATGTTTCTTGTTCTTCTGCGCGCCAGCCTCGCCGCCCCGGTTCTTCTTGGCACGCACTGTGGCGGTGATCATCGCCTGGTAGAGGTCGACGAGGATCTGCAGGCTGATGCGCCGCTTGGCGGCGAAGCGGCTCAGGTAGAGCTCCAGGAGCTCCAGCTCCCTGAACTTGTGGGTCAGCTCCTCCTGCCGCTGCCGCAGCCGCTGCTGCCTCTTGGACAGCTTGGGCTCCTGCGGCTCGGCCCCGTCCAGGCCCGAGCCTGCGAACATGCTCAGGAGAGAGCCCCCCGCGCTCTCGTCGTCGCCCTCGCCGAGCAGCTGCTGCAGCACCTCGTCGCCCCCCAGAATCCGCCGACCCCGCCAGCAAGGGTTTGGGCCGACCACCCTCTCCCTGCTCCAACTCCCCGAGAGTCCAAGTCTCGCTGGGGGGGGGAGTCCGCGCGGGGGGGCGGGGGGGCTTGACTCCACGAGCTCCTCAGCACACCTGGACGGAGGGCCCGCCAAACTGCCCCTGCAGGTCCCATCTGGAGGCCCCTGGAACTGTCGAAGATGGCTCCAACGTGGCCGGAGACAACAACACTACCCAAGGGGGACATTCACGACGGTCTCAAGTGTTCCCCAAATGACTTTACGTTGGCCAGGGAGCCTCCAAAGGAAACCTCAGAGAGGTTTCAACCCACTGAGGTCGTAATTCGTGTGTTCTTCTACGCGTTTGGCGCTCTCGCTTTAGTTCCTTCAGGCGGCCCTCAGAGAGCAGCATCAAGACTGCCTCAAAGTGACTCAAGATGCCCTAGAAGAGGCCCACGAAGGGCTCAATAATAATCGAATAGGTCTCCAACTGGCTCTACAAGGGCCACAGAGGAGCTCGGAGGTCCTGGTATGAGTATCCAAAATAGCCCCGAGGGGCACAAACAGCATGGCCCAGATCCTCCTTCGTGCCCCCTGGCACGTTGAGGCGTGGCAGAATGCCAAGTGATGTCTGGTAGGGTTTCTTGACTCTAATGAGGGACCTCTGCTCTACCAGCAGACCCCCGCATGCATCGCACCCCCTCCCGAGTCACCGATCCCTTATAAAATACGATGGGTCCGCTCCCCCGAAGCCACAATCCCACATTGAAAGCGATGGATCCGCGTCCCGAACTTCCAAGACGGCCCATGCAAGCAGTCACGGACACCAAGATGGCCAAACATGCCTCGAAGACGGCCCCAAATGGCCCCAAGGCTGCCGACTATGGCATCAAGCCGGCCCCACATGCCTCCGACAGGACCCAAAAGGGCCGCAGAACAACCTCCAACAGGGCCCCAAGAAGCCAACAACATCGCTTTCCCTTGGGCGTTTGACTAACATTCACATTCTCGCCTGTTTGGGTTACCTGGAAACGATGGCCTCAGAAAGCCTCCACGAAAGCCCCTAGACAGCCCCAGAGGCTCCCAAGAGAGCCCCAAGATGGTCCAAGAGGACACACAATGGCCCAAGAGACATCCAAGACGGCCTCAAGAGGGCCCAAGAGGGTTTCCCGCTTGACCAAAGGAGGCCTCAGAAGGCTCTTCGACGACCCAATACGACCGAACGGCAACCCCTAGACCACCATCATCATCACCATCATTATCCTCCTCCCCCTCCTCCTCCTCCTCCTCCTCATCATCATCATCACGATCATCTCACTACCACCAGCACCACCGTCGTCACCACCGGGATCATCATCATCATCATCATCATCATCATCATCATCATCATCATCATCAGCATCATCATCATCATCATCATCATCATCATCATCATCATCATCAGCATCATCATCATCATCATCAGCATCATCATCATCATCTGCATCATCATCATCATCATCATCAGCAGCATCATCACCATCACAATCACAAGTATCATAAGCACCAGCATCATAATCATCATCGCCAGCATCATCGTCATCAGCATCAACATCGTCATCATAATCATATTCAGCATCATCGTAAGCAGCATCACCACCATCATCAGTATCAGCACCAGCATCATCATCAGCAGCAGCATCAGCATTATCATCATCATCGTCATCATCATCATCGTCAAGATCATGATCATCAGCAGCAGCATCATCCGCATCATTATCTTCATCATCATCGGCATAACCACCTTCGTCGGCATCGCCATCATCATCAACAATATCATCATCAGCACCACAAGCATCTCACCACAACCACCATCAATATCAGCATCGTCAGTATCATCATCCTCACCATCGCAATCGCAATCATCATTATTATCATAATCGTCATCATCGCCAGCGTCATCATCGTCAGTATCATCATCAGCAGCAACAACGTCGTTCACATTGTCATTATCATCACGGACACCATCATCATGTGCATCAACATCATCAGCAACTACCTCATCCACATCCTCACCCTATCCGTATCATCACCATCACCATGACCAGCATCATCACCAGCACCATCACCAGAATCATCGCGATCAAAACCATCGTAAGCATCATTATCTGCATTAGTAGCATCATCATCATCACCATCGCCATCATCATCGTCATCAGCATCAGCATCATCATCATCAATATCCCCATCACCACAGCCATCATCATTCACCATCTGCATCATAATCATCAACATCACCAGCATAACCATCTTCGTCGTCACCGAATCATCAACATTACCACCATCACCATAACCATCATCATCGTCATCACAAACACCGCCACCACCATCACCACCCCATCAGCATCACCATCATCGTCGGCACCATCAGCGTCATCATCATCGTCATCCTCAACATACCCAATCGCCGTCGCCATCGTCATCATCAACACCATCAATATCCCCATCCCCAACACCATCACACTCACCCTCACCACCATCACCACCACCGTCATCATACTCATCATCGTGGTCATCATCATAATCAATATCATAGTCAACCCGTAATCGCCGTCGTCATCGTCATCATCAACATCATCACCGCGACAATCACCATGATCGTCATCACCACCACCACCAGCATCGTTATCACCATCATCGTCAGAATCAGCATCATCAACGACATCAACAGCATGCAAATCATTATAGACATCAACATCATGTTCAAAAGCATCATCACCATCATCAACATCATCATCACCATCATGCTCATGATCCTCGCCACGGCTCCCCCAAACCTAGAGAAACAATGTGTCACACATGACTGCCTCCCGTGCCCACTCGAACAAACGCCACCCAAAATAGCACGGTGACGGGATTTGCCAGCAGCTGGATAACAGCCCAGGAGGGCCAGGCAAACGGCGGGAAGATATTGCCTGCTCTACTCATGGCCCAATACAACCCCGCTATAGGGTCCCCGAGAGGGCCTCAATCAAGATGGCCTCAGACTCCGCACTGGCTCGGAGATGTGCGTGCTCATGTGTACGCATGTCATCGATGACTACAAGAAGGCGCAGGATTGGCAATTCCAGGCGCATGCACCCTATCCTCCTGAAACTCCTGCCAGTCTTGCTTCTCGTGTCCCTCTCATCCTTCGCATCATTGCCTTTAACAACCCAAGGGATCGTCACGCATCTTTCTATTGTGGGACAGCGGAATGGCGTGGGCCTATTCGGATAATCTCATCCGCATCGTCGCTGTCACCTCCGCCGACCGCTGTACTGGTTTCTCTTTCGCCATTCTCGCGGGCCTCGGCTTCGGCCTGTCCTTTCGCCTCGTCGGCCATTTGCGCGAGCTTCGCCACCCTCTTTGCCTTAGCACCTCTTGCCTCCTCTTCGGCTTCGCTATCGTCGTCCTTGTCACCTTTGGCCTCGTCGCCGCTAGCATCATTGCCCGCGTCCCTCACCGAGGCACAAATGCTGGATATTGTCTCGTCGGGGGTGAAATCGCCCAACTCTCGCCAGGCCATGCGCGTGACCTCCTTGGAAGGGACCGGGGAGAACCTAAACATATACTTACACAGTCATATGTTACCATGTGTTAAACACGATCCCTAAGTATGACTAGAGCTATCGCGTGCTTCGCTCGCGCTCGGTGTACATGTCTTTGAACCTGAGCGTGCAAGCAGGACCGCACCCTGGGGAATGGAAACCGCTGGTATCGAAGCAAGCGGCAGTGCTGGCGAGTGCGCGATTCGGGTTACTGCTCGGGTTAGGCCGACGGGTATACACCCTGCGAAATGCTTAAGAAATCATGGGTTAAGAAATTCATAGTCTCAGAAGTTGAATAAAAACCCAACAATTCCATTCAAAGCTTAGGATTTACATTGAAAGGTTAAGAATAATCGATACTCTGGCCGAAAATTTAGGTTTTCTTAAGCATCGCCCAAGGTGTACTTTGATTTCTGATGGGGATGCAGCTTCCCCTGCTGTTGCCCTGCCAGACTGCGCGCTGTCCTCCGGCCAAGGCCAGGAGCGGAGGAGGGAGGGAGCGGGGAGGCGGTGCGAGGGGGAGGGGAGGCAGGAGGGAGCAGGGAGGAATGAGGACGGAGGAAAAGGAGGGAGGACGAGGAGGGACGAGAAATGCTGGGGATGAGGAAAGAGGATCATGACAGAGAAGGGCGGATGAGGATACACATGATGACGACGATGGAGATGAGGAGAAAAGGAGAGAGTACAACACGAATTGGAGAATGAGGAATCGCAATGATGATGGTAGTGGTCATGAGGTTGAAGAGAGTAGTGGGACACGAAGGGGTGACGGTGACGCGCAAGCGGGGACCTACTCCTCATTATAATCCAGAAAAAAGGGGCTCTAGGCGGTCAACGCACGATCGATCGCGTTGTCCGCTTCGAGTTCTGAGGCAGTCAAAGTTTGTGCTAACCTGGTCTCCACTGCGGAGCTTTGATTGGGCCTCTTCAAGCCCTCTTGGGGGCCATGCTGGAGGGTCGGTTTTCCGCCTGTCTCTCCACCTCCAACTGTACTCGGGTCGTCTTGGAACCTATTGAACGCATGCTGGAAAGGTAACTATGGATGGTCCCCTGGTCTTTCTTGGGAATCTCTTGGGGCAATTGTGGGGCCGTCTTGGGGGCCTCATGGGCAGTGGCGGAACCCATCCGGCCGCCGTGCCAGGGTTGCGGACGAGAGGCGGATTAGAGGTCTCTTGGGGTCTCTCGGGAGGCCTCTCGGATACCCCTTTGGGAGAAATTGTTGGAGCATCGTGGGGCCTCGTAGGCGGCGCATGATGGCGGCGTGCTGGGGGTCTTGGGGTGCAATCCTTCGGGGTGAGGCCCTCGAAGCCCTTTGCTGTCCTCCTCGTGATCCCCCCTTGGGGTCATCTTGCAGTGTCTTGGTCCCTATTGTGGAACCTCATGGGCAATCGTGGTGCCCTCTTGCGCCGCCCTGGGGCCGACCTGGGGGCCTCTTGAGCCGTGCTGGGGCGACCTTGGGAGCTCCTTGGGCCAGCCTGGGTGGTCGGAAGCCGGAGAGGGCGAGATCGCCAGCACCCTTTGAAAACGGAAAAAGAACAAGGAGTGCTAGGTCTCGGAGCTCTCTCGGGTCGGGCGAAAGGGGGGGATAGCAAAGGGGGGGTTTGAGAATCAGCTCACGTAGCTGATTTTCCCGGCGCCTCCCGGCGCCGGAGGCGGCTATGTATCGAGGAATGGGCCCCTCGGTGAGGCCGAGACCAGCTGCATGCAGCAAATTTCGTAACCCCCCCTTTCCCAATCCCCCCCTTTCGCCCGACCCGACTCTCTTGGGGCCCTCTTGATACCTTCCTTGGCCGTCTTGGGGGCATCTTGGGCCGTCTTGAGTCCATTTTGGGGGCCTCGTGGTGCTCTTGGCCCGTCCCTTAGACCATCTTGGACCGTCTTGGAGCTTCTTCGGAGTTCAGGGAGCCTCCTGTGGCAATCCGGGGACGCTCCAGGGAGGCCATGAGGGCGGGGGGCTCTACTTACTTCTCTCTGGCGGCCCCTTGTGGTCGGCGGCCCTGGGGATCCCGGGGCTGGGTTTCTGGTATACGAGCTGCTGTTGCTCTTGCCTGTTGTTGTTCTTATATTTGTTGCTGCTGTTACTGCTGAAGTTATGATGTTGCTGTTGCCGCTGCTATTCTTGCTATTGCTGCTTGCTGGTGCTGCCGATTGCGCCCTGGGAGTCCTGGCCCTCGAAACATTGCGTCTTTCACGAAGATGGCGTCTTCCTCGACTGACCGCAAGCCCCTGCCAGGTCTGAATCCCACTGGCGCTCCCTCATTTAGAAAAAAGCCGACCCTCGTGAGGGTGGCGCCTCACCCGATGGGCCGGAGGCCTCTGCCGGGTCTGTGCGCGCTGTGTGTGGTTATTGTCGTGGCATGTGCGTTGCCACTTGGGGCCGCCATCTTTCTTCAAGGACCGCACCGTCTCCGAAGACATGCACCGAACAAGCATGTGCGCCCGCCATTTCCCTGCCCTGGCTCCTTCATCAAACCTCCGCTGTTCGTGAAGAGCTCAGCCGCCACTCGGGGCACCGCCGCAAGAGCCTCCTGCCGCTGCTTCTGCACTTTAGCACGCCTCTTCGCGGGAGCGTCCGCGGGGGCCTCGGCTGGGAGACCAGACACGACGGGGAGAACCTCGTTGATCTGCGCCCTCAGCGCATCGCGGTCTTCCTGGTCGTCCGCGTCCAGCAGCACGAGCGCCAGGGCGAGCAACAGACTGCAGAGGGCGTTGCGCTGCCGCACCGTCATGCCGCCCTCTGACACCTCGGGCTCTGCCAGGAGACGATTGCAGAGGTCCACGCACTGCTTGCGCAGGCCGAGGTCCTCCTCGCTGAGGGGCGCGATGCACCGCAGCGCGGCGCTGGCGCCGGCACCCTTCTTCCTCTTCTTCGAAGGCGGCTTCCCAGAGCCGTCAGCGGGGGCGGTACTGGCCTCATCAGGGCCGTTCTCCACTATGCGCGGGGAACAGGGCAGGATGCACCTGCCACCTAACCCAACGGCGGGCGGGAAGGGGCGGGGCGACGGGGTCGGACAAGCTAGGCGCGCTCGGGCCATCTGACATCCTACCCCTCCCACCCATCCGTTCTGATTTGCGCTGTTGTTTGCCCATCCGCCGACGAGTGTCACAATGGACCTGGGACTCCAAAAAGAGTCTCATCTTGTTACGTGCGACTGGAAACAGAAGGATGAGTAGGAGGAAAAGGAGGAGGCTGAGGAATGAGGAGGACGAGGATGAACAGCAGCAGCAGGAGCTGGAGTGGAAGGAGCGGGAGGCACACGAGGACAATGAGGGGGGGCGACGACGATGAAACGATGAAAGTGGCCCGCGCTGTGGCGAGAACGCTATTCTGACTGACGGGAGCAAGCCGCCAATCTGAAAATGAGGCCCGCACTGCAGCGGGAGCACCATCTTGACTCATCGACGCAATCGGATTGACGAAACGCGTAAAAAAGAAACAACGTTTGACATCCTATCGGTGAAAGACAATACGCGGAGAGGGCCGAACATCTTCCAGACAACGTCAGGGGAAAGAGGAGGGTGATATTTGCAATGTGCAATTGTAGGGAAGCACCCGGAGGGGCCAAACAGCAGGGAGGTCAGGGACGACGGGCATGTCCATATCCATGCCCTCGCGAGCTGGACAACGAGGCGCGATCCCATGGATACCCCATCCTGCAAATCATCAACTACGCGCGCGGCCCTGTGCAGACACGGCTGCCTGTAAGGCAGCCGCGTATTCACAGGGCCGCGGCCGAGTGCAGACCGCCAGGCCGCGGACATGGGTACACCCTGCGAAATGCTTAAGAAATCATGGGTTAAGAAATTCATAGTCTCAGAAATGGAATAAAACCCAGAACTTCTATCAAAATCTTGGGATTTATATTGAAAAGTTAAGAATAATCGAGACTCTGGACGAAAACTGAGGTTTTCTTAAGCATCGCCTAAGGGGCAGGCTTCCCGCCCGCGGAGGAGGGCGCCGGTGCACACGCTCTGCTCCCCCATGTGGTCCCACCACTGGTGCAGCCTCGACAGCAGCAGGCTCCCGTCGCCGAGGCAGCCGTTGAACGCGTACGTCCGGACCGCCTGGCCCGCAGTGCCGGCGCTGGGGTCCTCTAACAGGGGATATGTCGACCCTTATCCCAGGCTTCGTAGCGTTTTCGAATGGACCAAAAATTTAGGGACCAACTCTGGGATATACGAGGGGGGGGCGTCCATCCTCGGTAGGGGTGCGTCCGAATAGCACCCCGGGGGTGTATCCCAAGGTTTCCCTCCTTTTCTGAGTGGTCCCATTTTTCGTCGAAGAGTCGGGGATTGGGGGAGAAAAATCGCCTGCGATCCTCGTCGCCCTGGTCCGCGTCGGCTCCGGCGCAGCTGGAGCCGGCCAGGATCTTCTCCGCCATCTCGGGCGAGGGCCTCTTGACGAGCCCCACCAGCGAAGACCACAGCTTCAACCTGATGCATGGGCGGACGGGGTCTCTGAGGGAAGCTTCTCAATGGAGCCGTTGGCTCCTGGGCACGAGCACGGGAGGCCCACAGCAGCGATGCACTCAAAGGGACCCCCTTCCCTCGAGGTCACTTTTTTGTCATGGTCGCGACCGCCAATGCTTCCGGCCGTCGGCGCTGGCGCTGGCACCCTTGAGGCCGGCCGGCACCAGCATGTCCTCCCCTGGCGACTGCGCAGCGAGCTTCCTGGCGGACATGAAGGCCTTGAGCGAGAAGGCCGCGTCCTCGGGCGCGCTCTCCTCGGGCTCGAAGTACCCGGCGGTGAGCAGCCGGCACATGCTGGCAACGATCACCTCGTCCGAAGCCTCTGCAAAAGGAAGCGGGCAGGCACATCGCAAGCCAGCATCAAAAACATGCACCAACGATCGGATCAATTATTCTCCCGGCCCCCTCCTTCCAACTAATTAGCCAGTCGGCCGAGCCTTGCTGTGCAGCGCCAGAGCCTCCAGCTGCGTGGGCCACAGGCGTATGTCCGGGGCCCCCGCTTCCTCAGGAGGACGCTGAGTACGCACACGCACACACACCGACCTTGGCCAGGCCCTTAACCATTCGGGGGCTCAACAATGGGCACGCACCCCGCCACATTAATATCCGCCAGCGTGCCTTCAGCATGAAGTGGAGTGCCCCAAGGCTCGCACTTTCAAAGTTAATGCACCAGGGCATTCGTAAGGGCCCTGCCTCCCCGGGCGCTTCTGAAAATTCTTTGGGTTTCCTGAGATGTGTCGCGTGAGCTCTCAGGACACTGAAACCTCCCCCGGGATCCACAAAAACAATGAGCATCCCAGACGGCTTAAGGGCGCCCCAAGACGGCCCAAGAGCGCCCAAAGACGCCCAAGATAGCCCCAAGGCGGCCCAAGAGGTTCCCAAAACGCTCCAAGAGGGCTCAAAAGGGCTCCGAGAGACTCGCCGGGGAAGGCCCCAAGAGGCAACCACACATAAATTCTTAACGGAATTTAGCGTTCTCGCCTCTCTGGGCTTCCGACGGCCCAAGACGGCCCAAGAGGACCACTGTCCCAAGAGGCCCACAAGAAGGCCGCAAGATGGTCCAAGAGAGCCCCAAGACGGCTCAAGAGAGCTCCAAGACAGCCAAGAGGCCCCAAAGGCCGGCCAAGAAGGTCTCAAGATTGGCCAAAGAGGGAGAGCATGAACTGATATTTCGAGCCCACCGCCCCAAGATGACCCCCTAGACCGCCCCGAAGAAGCTCCAGGGGGCCCCCAAGAGGCCCAGAAGAGGTCCTGAGAGCCCGAGAGACTCCCGAGAGGCGCCAAGACAACCCAAAGCTTCCAAGAGGCTTCCGAGATGCCTCCCAGGAGATCCCAATAGCCATCCAAGAGGCCTCTGACCTTCAACGCAGGACCCTCGCGCAATAATGCGTCCTGTCGGCGTCCCATGTGAAGCCCATTGCGCGTACTTGTCTGTTTCGCGCCAAGGCGCTCACAACATGAAAGAATCGCGTCCTGAATCGAACGGGACCTGGAACCCTGGGGAATTCCCCCAGGGGGGCCGATGTGGGAGTTCCCTGGACCCCCCCAGGAAACGCATGAAAAAACTGATAATACAGAACGGCTTTAAATTCTAAGGTTTTTCCCCCTGGAGCCCAGGGGCGGGAATTTGGTTTTTTTATGGGCGATCTGGGGCCCCACACTTAAACGGAATACAACTTCTGAGACCCCCCAGAAACATTATCCCGGTGAAAGGCCCAACCATGTAACGCTGCAGGTACCACGAGAAAAGTGAGAAGAAGCAGGGGAAGCAGTGTGGGCTGTGCCGACATAGAGCAGCTGCGCCCTGCGGTCCCTGCCATTCGGGCCTTGGATGGAGCTCCCGATGGGGCCAAGGCACGTGTGAGGGGTGAGCCATCAGATGCGGGTACGCCATGCGGACCCTGCCGCTGGCACCTTCGGTGGACATTCCCTAAGGGGCCTCGGCACGTGTGGGGGTTGGGCGGAATGAAAATCTGGGTGCGCCATGCAGACCCTGGAGCTCCCTTCGGAGCCGCGAAACGTCGTAGGTGTGCCGAATTGAGCGCGGGTGCGCCATGCGGGCCCTGCCGCCGGGGCCTTCGGTGGAGCTCCCTTCGGGGCCGCGAAACGTGTGAGACGTGTGCTGAATCGGGTGCGGGCACCCCAGGCGGACACTGCCGCTGGGGCCTTCGGTGGGGCTCTTCATGGGGCCACGGAACGTCGGGGTGTGCAAATGGCGTGAGCTGGCTTCGCCGGCGCTGGCTTCGCTCACGGCTGGTTTCGCTGGCGCTAGTTTCGCCGGCGCTGGTTTCGCCCCGCTGGTTTCGCGCGGCGGCTGGTTTCGCCGGCGGCTGGTTTCGCCGGCGCTGATTTCGCTGGCGCTGGTTTTGCCGCCGTCGTCGTCGTCGTCGTCGTCGTCGTCGTCATCGTCGTCGTCGTCGTCGGGCGTCGGACCTGAGCGGGCGGGTCAGGTCGGGCGGACCCTAACGGGCGGGTCGGGTCGGGCGGGCGGACCTTGACGAGCGGGTCGGGTCGGGTCGGGCGGGACATTAAAGTGTAGGGCGCGCTCGTCCGAGCACGCGCGAACCCTTACGGGCAGGTCGGGTCGGCCAGGCGGACCCTAACGGGCGGGTCGGGTCGGGTCGGGCGGGCTGACCTTGACGGGCGGGTCGGGTCGGCCAGGCGGACCCTAACGGGCGGGTCGGTCGGGGCGGGCTGACCTTGACGGGCGGGTCGGGTCGGGCGGGCGAGACATTAAAGTGTGGGGCGCGCTCGTCCGAACACGCGCGAACCCTGACGGGCGGGTCGGGTCGGCCGGGCCCTGGCGGGCGGGTCGGGTCGGGCGGGCGGACCCTGACGAGCGGGTCGGGTCGGGCGGGCGAGACATAAAAGTGTGGGGGCGCGCTCGACCAAGCACGCGCGAACCGTAACGGGCGGGTCGGGTCGGGCGGACGGAACTTGGCGGGCGGGTCGGGTCGGGTCGGGCGGGCGGGTCCTAACAGGCGGGTCGGATCGGGCGGGTAAAATGTGGGGCATGCTCGAATGAGCACGCGCGAACCCCATCGGGCGGGTCGGGTCGGGCGGGCGGACCCTAGCGGGTCGGGTCGGGTGGGGCCGGGCGGGTGGACCCTGACGGGCGGGTCGGGTCGGGTCGGGCGGGCGGACCCTGACAGGCGGGTCGGGTCGGGCGGGCAGGACATTTAAAAAAAGGCCCGCTCGTCCGAACACGCGCGAACCCTAGCGGGCGGGTCGGGTCGGGCGGGCGGACCCTAGCGGGCGGGTCAGGCCGGGTCTGGCGGGCGGACCTTGACGAGCGGGTCGGGTCGGGCGGGCGGGACATTCAAGTGTGGGGCGCGCTCGTCCGAACACGCGCGAACCCTAACGGGCGGGTCAAGGCGGCCGGGCGGACCCTGGCGGGCGGGTCGGATCTAGCAGTTTTGCCGACGGCAGCTGGTTTCGCCGACGGCGGCTGGTTTCGTCGACGGAGCTGGTTTCGCCGACGGCAACTGGTTTCGCCGGGCGGCGAAACCAGCCGGACGAAACCAGTCGGGCGAAACCAGCCGGGCGAAACCAGCCGTCGGCGAAACTAGCAGTTGCCTGCAGGATCGGGCGCGGGTACGCCATGCGGGCCCTGCCGCTGGGGCATTCGGTGGGGCCCCCTGTGGGGCCACGAAACGTGTGAGAGGTGTGCCGCATCGGATGTGGGTGCGCCATGCGGGCCCTGCCGCTGGGGCCTTCGGTGGACGTCCCTTCGGGGCCGCGAAACGTGTGAGACGTGTGCAGAATTGACTGCGGGTGCGCCATGCGGACCCTGCCGCTGGGGCCTTCGGTGGAGCCCCCTTCGGGGCCACGAGCAGTGTGAGGGGTGAGCCGGATCGGGCGCGGGTGCGCCATGCGAGCCCTGCCGCTGGGGCCTTCGGTCGAGCTCCCAATGGGACGACGAAGCGTGTAAGGGGGGTGCAGAGTCGCGCGCGGGTGCGCCATGCGAACCCTGCCGCTGGGGCCTTCGGTGGAGGCCCTTAGGCGCGGGCACGCCATGCGGGCCCTGCCGCTGGGACTTTTCGTGGAGCTCCGTATACGGGGCCACGAAACGCGTGATTTTATGCGTTTGTTTCCCATGCTTTCTGGCCACCCAAAGCTCCAGGGGGGGGGGAACCCTCCGAAAAAGCTCGCGCTCGCACGGGTTGTTTTGGAAGGGTCCTCCCTGAGTTGCCGGAGAAACCCCGCAAAAAAACCGTCGAACAATTCAAAGGAAACCTCCGAATGTTGTCTGTCCTTTCAAAACCGTGGAAGGAACAACAACTTGTTTTCTCGTGTTGGGGTTTGCCCCCCCGTAGCCTGGGGTGGCTGGAAAACAACAGAAAAACATACAAAAATCAACTTACTGTTTTGTGAAGTGACTTCCCCCCAGGGAGCTTGGCGGCTGGGAGCCCCGAAAAAGTGAAGAAACACATGCGGAAGGCACCCGACAAGGCCCCCGAACGAACACTTCGAACGGGGGGGTCCCTGGGGGCGCTCGGGGAACTGGCACACCCTACTGCCCCCAGGGCCAGAGCCTCGTCTCGACTTCTTTTGTTGCACGGTCCCGGGGCCCCGGGGAGGGCCCCGGGAGGCCGAAAGCGGCGCACGGCAGGGCGAATGTCCTGCTCCCAGGACGGGCCTGGCCGCCACGGCTGGTATGCAGGCGTGGCCAGCGGGCGCCCCCCCGGTCCTGCACGCCCGCGCCGACGCTCGTGGCCAGCAGCGCCGCGCAGCGCTGGCGGACCCCTGGCGGCGCCAGCGGGGCAAGCAGCGCCTGCCGTTGTCACAACGGGAGCCCAGACATCACAAGCCCGGAACAGGAATCCAGGCGGAAAATCTCCAGCGTCGTCGGCTTTCGGCCTCAGGGTGCCTTCGCCGGGCCCCGGCACCGTGAAACCACCCCAGGGCGAGCAGCCAGCCCTGGGGAACCGCTCGGGACTTCTTGGGACTCTGTCGTGAGCCGAAGAATGCACGGGAACTCTGGAAACGGTTCCTGAGGGAAACGGGTCCTGGCTGGGACCAGCTCTGGAGCCCACTTCTGAATGCATGGGGAGGGCCTGGGGGGCGGAAGCAATGAAATAAAGGCACGGTTCCCTCAGGGCCCCGTTCCTTCATTACGACGCCTGCTGCCACAATCGCCAATGCTACTGCCCTTGCCGCTGCTGCTGCTGCTGCTGCTGCTGCCGCTGCAGTCAGTGCGACCATGAGGAACATCACCTGGGGAACGAGGTTTCTGTTGCTGGCCACCGCGAGCCTCGGCCACGAACAGGCTCCTCGACCCAGATCCACGGGGCGGCCCGAGAACCAGAGGTCCTCCAGTGCCCAAAGCAAACCTTGTATCAGCGTCTCTCAGAAATCACCGGCAGCGTAAACTCGAGCTTGCGGAGGCTTGTGCTGTTTCTTCATCTGTTCTTCCATCCTCCCACTCTCCTAATGTTGACTCTACTGCCGCTGCCGCCTCCGTGCCCTCGAGGGGGGATCGGCGGCTTTCGGGGATGGACAGACCTCCCTTTAGTAAAACGTGGTTTAGTGAAAACGACTTTGGGCCCAAACCTGGCGTGCGCAAGCCTGGAAAATGATGGCCACGGCGCCCTCTCGAAAACCGAAAACGAACAGTTCACTAATCGACGTGTCACTGTAGGGGGTTCTGTCCACCAGCGAGGCTTTCGGGCCAGAACTCGGGCCTCCAACAACCGCTCAGGACGATCCGAGCGCCCGCGGGATCCTCTCTCGACGAGGCGCACCCGATGGAGGGTGCCCCGAGGCCCGGAAGACCACCGAGAGAGCCCACGAGAGAGGCGGAAACCTTGGGAAAGAGGAGAGGAAAGGAAAGAGGAGCGAGGGAAGGACTCCTCCCTCCCCTGCTCACGGAGGGGGGGGGGAAGGAGGCGAAGGGGGAGAGGGCCAGTGTAAACCCCAGGCGCATCCACGATTGCAGCAAATCCTCCCGTCGAGCTCTCTCTATTCGCAGGTCCCTACAAGAAATTGTTTCCAGTGTTGGAAATGCCCCATTGACAAGCAGGTGTCTAAGAATCCTCAACCGCGTCAAACGAATCCTCAATCGCGTCAAAGCACCTTCCCAGGAACTTCAACGCGGCAACTCAACGGAAGCTTTGCGTCCTGACAAAGACGAATCGTGCCAGAACGCCATGCCTGGGACCTCAACACCGAGAATCAAAGTGGGAATTGCGTCTTGACATTCCTAAACCGCGGCAGGACACCATAGTTAGGACTTCACCCCCACGACTCCTTAATCAAACGGCTGCGAACATGTAAGACGAATGCGGCGGCGCTAAACAGAGAACCACACTTTGAAAAGGAGCCGTCCTCCATGCTTGAGTCTGTTGCAAGATTATAAAGCGAATGTGCGCCGCACTAAAGCAAGAGCCCCCTCTTGAAAACCACCCGCCTCCTATCCTTGGAACTGCTGCACACTTGTACGACGAATGTGCGCGGCGCTGAGGCGAGAGCCAGATTTTGGAAACCACCCACCCTCCATTCTTGAAAGTGTTGCAAGTTTCAAGCCTCAGGGTCATGAAGGGTGAGGAAGTCTCAGGCGAAACGACCGGCCGCCCTAAAAACACGTCTGGGGGTCCAGCAGGGAGACGTCATGGAGCGATGAGGAGCAGGGAGGAGGAGCGAGGAGGAGGGAGGAGGGAGGCAGGAGGCGAGGTGGAGGAGTGCGCCTGCTGCCACTGCCGCTGGAAGTTGCCCGGCATCGAGCCGTAGGCGCGGTGCCGCTGCAGTGCCTCCAGCGCGGCCAGGCGGGCGTCGTCGCTGAGGCGCACGGCCGGCGCGGGCGCGGCGGCGCGCTGGCCCTTCTGGTCCTCGAGCGGGGGGCCCCTGACATCCTCGCGTCACGAAGTGTGATCACGACGGAGGGCCCCTGGGCTGCCAGAAAACGTCTGAGGATGTGAAGCTGGTCCCAAGGAAGGTGTCCAGACCTCTGGGGAGCCACGTTGTGAACAAATCACGACCGCGAATATCTGGGGAGGGCAGGGACGAGGAGAGCGAAGAGAGGATCTGCGGCAGGCTCGGGTGGTAACGAATTCGGCGCTTGCGTCCAACACCGGTTTTGCATCCCAGATTATTTGTTGGCGGTCCTGGGGCCCCAAACGGACCTCCAGATGTCGAAACCAGCACAACTATCGTCACCACGTTTCCAACATTTAGGTGATTGGAGGTCTGGATATACAGCATGTGGGCGTCGTGCGTCGTGACGACCTGTGGTGCGCTGTTGTTGTTTCTGACACTGCGTGGACTGTTCAACCTTTAGCGATCGCGGCTTTCTGACAGCACGGATCGTGTGCTGTCGGCGAACTTGGGGCCAGGGGCGGCAAGTTCAAGCTTGAAGGCGCCGGTTCTTGGAAGAACAAGTCCTGGA